TTTTGGTGTGAGGCAGTGAATACCTCTGTGTATTTACTTAATAAAAGTCCAACCCGAGCTTTTGAGAATACTACACCTTTTGAGAAGTTTAGTGGGAGAAAGCCTGGAGTTAAACATCTCAAGGTGTTTGGCTTGGTGTGTTACTCACTTATCCCTGGAAAGTTGAGGCATAAGCTAGAAGTAACAAGTGTCATAAGAGTTTTTATTGGATATGGTACATGTGAGAAGGGATACAAAATATTGAACCCTGCAACTCAGAAGGTTTTGCTCTCAAGAGATGTGATTTTTGATGAACATGGCAAATGGTACTGGGGGTAACACAAAGTGGAAGAAGTCTGCATCCCACTTCCTGCAGATGAAATGTCAAGCATGAGAACAACTGAAACATAAGAAGAACCTGCATCCCAAGAACATGCCATAATCGATGATACCTCGGTTGATGACACACCTTTGAGGCACAGAAACCTGAGTGAGATCTATGCAAGATGTCATTCATGCATAGTGGAGCTTGAGAACTTTGATGAAGCTGCACAGGATGAAGCATGGAAGAAGGCAATGAAAAATGAGACGAACATGATTGAGAAGAATCAGACGTGGGAATTGATAAATAGACCCTTCAATAAACCTGTAATTGGGGTAAAATGGGTGTACAAGACCAAGTTGAACTTGGATGGTTCAGTTCAAAAGCATAAATCCAGACTAGTTGCAAAGGGCTATGCACAAAAGCCTAGAATAGACTATAATGAAACATTTGCACCAGTGGCAAGGTTGGATACTATACGAACTCTCATTGCCTTGGTTGCAAAGAACAGTTGGAAAATGTATCAATTAGATGTGAAATCAGCTTTTCTAAATGGAGTGCTTCAAGATAAGGTGTATGTAGAGCAGCCCAATGGTTTCATTGTACAAGGAGAAGAGGATAAAGTGTATAAATTGCACAAAGCCTTGTATGGCTTGAAACAGGCTCCTAGAGCCTGGTATGGAGAGATAGACTCTTATCTCGTGCAGTGCGGTTTTAAAAGGAGCACAAGTGAGGCAACATTATATGTTAAAGGCAGGGGAACCTCGGATTTGGTCATAGTATCTATCTATGTAGATGATATAGTTTATATAGGGAATTCTCAAGAGCTAATGCAGGATTTCAAGACTGATATGATGCAGAGGTATGAGATGAAAAATTTGGGTTTGCTGCATCATTTTCTAGGAGTGGGAATTATCCAAAGTGAAGACTACATTTTCATACACCAGAAAAAATATGCTTCCACTCTTTTGAAAAAGTTTGGTCTGCAGGATTGTAAACCAGCTCATAAATTGAAGAGATGACGAAAGTGGAACTGCAAATGAAGCTTAATACAGAAAACTAATGGGAAGTCTACTCTATCTCATTGCAACTAGACCAGATATAATGTATGCTGCATGTCTATTGGCTGGATTTATGCATTCCCCCACAAATAAACATTATGGAATTGCCAATAGGGTACTAAGATATGTTCAGGGTACATTTGATTTTGGTTTGGAATATAAGAAAGGATAATAATCGGTTTTGGTAGGCTTCTGTGACAGTGACTGGTCTGGATCAGAAGATGATATGAAGAGTACATCGGGATATGCCTTTACATTTAGCAGTGGAGTATTCTCTTGGGCATCTGTGAAGCAACAATGTGTTGCTCTATCCACAGCTGAAGCAAAATATGTAAGTGCATCAAAGGCAATTGCACAAGCTACTTGGTTACGGTTTGTGTTAGAAGACTTTGATGAGATGCAGACTGTGGCAACACTCCTAAACTGTGATAACACCTCAGCCATTGCTATCACCAAGAATCCGATCTTTCATTAGAAAACCAAACACATAAACCGGAGGTATCACTACATCAAAGAAGCTCTACAACAGGGTGTAATCGACTTGATTCATTGTCCTACAAAGGAGCAAGTAGCTGACATCTTCACTAAGGCGTTGGCAAGAGAACACTTCTCTTATCTCAGAGAATTGCTTGGGGTGAAATCAGTTCACAATTTGAAGGGGAGTTTTAATATGCAAAATGGTAAACTGGTTTAGTATGTAATTGCTTTATTTAGTGTTATACTTAGCTCATAGGCTAAGTAGTCAAACAGTTTGTTAAGTCTCATAGGACTTGACTAGATAGGTGTCTTAATCCTACTGATAGTGTAGTTGGATGGTTGAGATTCAAGCTAGGAATTGTCTAGCTCTCTCTCTCCTCTAACGGTAATGTGAGCTGTGAGTGAAAATGATACTGTGCCTCACTCTCACAAATTAATACCTGTTTTGCAGAGCATATCACTTTATCTCTCTCTCAATTTCTCCATTTTCCCATTAGCACAGATTAGCTTGTCAAACACTAACAAATCCAACCATTCAATCATTAAAAAAGTTTAAGTCCAAAATATATATATACTCTCTCTCTCTTTCTTGTTGGATAGTGGGATTGAACCCCTCTCACAACCCCCTCATTATAAAATTTCCGATGAATATATACATATTTTTTTCTGCTGGACGATTGGGCCGGAGTGTCCATTGTTTTGGGCCTTGACCCATGTAACAAAAAAACTGCGAATTTCATACACTTCCGGATTATAAAAAGCAACCAAATTAATCAACAAAAACAATTACGATTTCTTCTATCGTTTTTTGGGTCCAAAAACAATTAAACTATCTGGAAAAGGAAAATTACTATCTATTCCCAATTTGTAAATGGACACTGTTTCCCTCTTGGGTTAAAAACACAAAAAGAAAATTCTTTACCCGCATGTCAAACTGATTGACATGAAAGTAGGAGCTTTACACTCCACCATTGAAAGAAGTAAATTATTTTAAATTATAAAAAAGAGAAGAAAGAAGTATATTATTAATTGAGAAATGGAGAATATAATAAGCTTCTCCTTACAAGGCCATAAACCATGCAATACTTTGGTGTACAATAGTTTATTTTTCTCCTTACAAGGCCTTTAGTTTTTGTTTCTTGTTTTTTCTCCTCAAGGAACTACAAGTCTGAGAGTTAGATGAATGGACGAGTGGGATACTTGAGGCAAGATACAGTGGGCACAGTAGAGCCGGAATTTCCTTTGGCATTGTTGCAACTTGCATAAACCTTCTTACTTGGAACCGTTGAGGTGATATTAATTTTCACCAGTTCAATGTTTTGACAACCCCAAATTTGGTTGCAGTCTAATTTGATGGCCTCCTCATTAACACAAGTTCCTCTAAAACCAGTGAATCTCACATTGCTCACCAGCACAGCTTTGCTCTAATAATCAGTATTTCAAACAAGTTAGCATTGCCAGCATATTTAAAACCACTAGAAGTGATTACGTTACCAAATCGTGAATCAAGACTCATTGATTATGTCGATTCTCATTTCAATGTGTAGTCTAGATTCACAATCTAGCAACATACAAGTATGACAAAAAAATGTTACCTTCTTTGGGCAATTGTGAGCACCGTTACAGTATTGTTGGTCAATAATGATGGGGTTTTTAGTTGCGGTAAGTGTGATGTTCTCGAAGGTTATATTCCTGGCATATCCGGATCCACCCTAGAAATTTACAAGAACAATACTTTAGAGCTTGAAACTAATAGATATAACATATAATGTATATATATATATATATATATATATATGAGATTCTAAATGTTACATCGATCGTTATAATTACCGGCCATGTCTTGATTCTTGCTGCATTTTGAGTTCCATTAAAACTACAATCTCTCACGTATATATTTTCCACTGCAGCATAAGCCCCATCTGCTCCTAAGCTCCCCACACTGTTTGCAAACAGAATTTGACAAATTAAACCCTGAATATGGTAAATTCATATAACTTTAGTTATGTGGTTATTTTGGACAAACCTAATTCCATGACCTGGTCCGCACGCAATCTTGGCTATCCTAACATTGGAAGAACCAGAACTGATTGCAATGCAGTCATCACCTGTAACAGAAATGGAAAGAAAAAAATAATAATAAGAAAAGAACTATGATTAATGAATGAAAAATGAATTAACTTTTAATTACCAGTTCCAATTTTAGAGTCATGAATATTGACATAGGTTGAGTTTGTGACGTTAATTCCATCAGTGTTTGGACTTTCATCAGGTGCAATTATAGTCAGATGGGAGATATCCACGTCATTGCTTGTGCTTATACCAATATGAGATCTTGGGCTGTTTATATGGGTAAGTCCACTCAATCGAAGATGATCACATCGGAGGAAGTGTAGAGCCTGCATTAACATTATATATTTTAGTAAAACTTAAATTTTAATATTAAAAAGATATGACCGTTCATTCAAATTCAAAGAGTAATGTTTTCTTGCCGAATGTATTCAGAATAGAAAACAACTTAATTATGGAAGTCATCATTTAAATTTACAGTATCTAACCTTTGTTGGTCTTTCGCATTTCTCCTTCTTCCCCTGTATAAATTGAGTGATAGTATGTCATATTAGATAGTTGAACATATATATATATATAAAATATATAATGACTACATATATATATATATATATAGTAGAATTTCAACATATGTGAATAGAATTTTACATTTATCAAAGAGCTATCTTCGCCCCACCAAGTTGAACCCTGGCCGTCGATTTTTCCTGAACCGTCGATTATAAGATTGCCCACTTTTCTAAATACAAGCCAACTATGTGGTGGACACACTTTCCATGCATCGGGTGTTTTGGGTGCCACCAAATTACCCAAGACCTGCCCTCCATCCCCAATCGGAATAGGAAAGGAAAAATAAAAAATAAAAATCATATGTGAATAAATAATCACGACGAATAAAGAAAGGAATTCTTAGTTATAAGTAGAGGATTTATAATAAATTAGATTTACTTTCCATCTTAAAATAATTGAGTTTTGTTAAGATTGATTGTCACTGCTAATTATATATATTTTAGTGTTGTCTTACCTGAACATGAACACTCTTTGATTTGCAGGGACCTTCAAATTCCAAGGGCTGCAATAAGAATGTTTTTCTCCCTGGTATGATAAGTGCTGGTACGTCATCACCAGCTGCAGCTGCTCCACATAAGGCTGTCCATGCTTTTACAAAAGCCTGTATCATGCAAAGTCAAGAATATAAGACTATGGAAAATGGAAAAGAAAAACAAAATGTTTTAATTTTCGACTTATGATCTGAATTGACAGTATGACAACATTAATATGTCGGGCTATCTAACAAAAGAATATTAAATTCGGCGGAAAACCTATACACTTTAAATGCCAATAGACACAATTGAAAGAAAGAGAAGTTACTTCGGTATCATCAGTTTGGCCATCTCCAACAGCACCAAATTTGACAACATCAAATGTTGTTTTGCTGTACACAATACCAAGCAACTGAGATGAAGCAATGCAAAATATGAAAAAGCTAGTAAGTATGTCCTGCATTTTTTTCACAAAACTAAACCAAAGTTGAAGCAGCAGAAGAAAAAGAATAGTGGAGTCCACCAGTTGAAAGAAAAGTATCAAATATGTTTTTATAACAATATGATTAGTTTGAGAAATTTACTAGGCTATGTAGCAATATATATAGTACCCGATGAGAGAAAAAATAATGCTTATCCAACAAATTCATCAAAATAGATAATTTAGATGTTGGTGATTGAGAATTATTTTTTTCCATGTTAATTACGATTAGGAATCTAGATATATTACTCAGAAAGTGGCATTTTCTTAGAAATGATGACCTTAGATATCACAGGAAACCATGTAGGCCACATATATAAGAATTTGTGTAAATTTTCCATTTCAATAAGTTACGAATCATCTTATTAGTTTAACTGGATTGGATTTTATGGTTGAACGATAAATCTAATATTTATATTTTGGAAAAGAATCAAGATCGCCGCGTATTCAAATTTATTGGTAAAAGCAAAAGAACGTTACCAAAAGATTTACACTTTTTTTTTTTTGGTCGTAAACAATCCAAGTTCATTTAAACCACGAAAATGGAAAGCAAACAAAGAAAACACAAAAGCCGAAAAGGCCAGGAACAAACATGTCAGCACTGCTGCACATAAAGATTCACCGACCTTCAGCCAAGAAGAGAAATTCCCCAAAAAGCATACACATATCAGCACTAAAACATTCCTCCATAGATCGCCTTCCTTATCACACCCGAATCCGACATTGCACTTAAGAGAAAACAACAACCAATCACAACACCAAGGTATATATCAAAATACAGACACCAAGAGACTGGAGAGCACCAAAGCAAGAACCGTAGCAAAAGCTCTAAATACACTCCGATAATAGCACGGCAAAGCGCTTATAGATATAATTGTTGTATCCCAATGGAGAGTCCAGATCCAAACAGAAGAGCAGGCAAAAAGAGAAGGAGATATTGGGGTAGATTGGCGAAAAACGGGGGACACAACGACATGAGACATTTCATCTTAGCACAAAGCACAAGGCTCAAACAATCACCACAATAGGGAGAAGCACCTAACTCTTAGACAGAGCCACAAGCATAGCCAAACATGCTCAAACCGATAAAAAAACAACAGAAAAACAAAAGCAAAAATTGAAAAACCGAGAATCACTCTGCAAAACATAGCAAAACCCTCCAAGAGGTGGAAGAGAAAGGAAATGGCAGGAAAAAGGTCATGTGGGAGAAAAGAAAGACAAAAATTTATCCTTTTCAGTTCATGGTGCTGAGTTAACTTAAGGAAGCTTTTCTTTATATGGATGCCGTAGCCATTTAGCATTTACAGAAAATTTATCTCAATTGTTTAAAGACAAAAATTTATCTGAATTAGTTCTTTACCACAATGGGAAAAAATTAACTTATTGGGTGTATCTGATGCACTGCATGCATCAATCACTTGATTTACTAATTTTATTTTAAGGTAACATATATCCACTATTTTCCCAATTCACAAAATTAATGCATGATGAGCTCAAAAGGCAATTTAAACAAATAATCTTATTATAGAAGAAATTATTCCAGAAAGAAACACCTCTCATTTGGATAGGCAATCAACATGAGGGGATGTAGAGATTCTGAGTGGCTTTCCAGGCACCATGGCGCTTAATTTGACATGATCCATGATAATGTTGGTGCAGCGGCCCAAGCTACAACAATTCAGTGTTATTGCTTGCTGGCTAGCGGAAGTTCCTTCAAAGCCACTAAATGTTATATCGCTCACTTTCACTCCTTTGTTATCGTCTACATAGTTTTGGTCAATGGTGATCGGATGTTAGGTCTCTGTGACTGTGATTTGCTCAAAAGTGATCTCCCTAGCATACCCTGATTCGCCCTTGAGAATAAACGAAGAGAGCAATTGAGAAATTTTTAAATTTTTTTTTATTTTTTATAAAACGGATGAATATATATATATTTCAAAATTTTAGTTACCTGCCATGTTTTGATTCTTGCACCATTTTGAGCTCTTTTAAAGTTGCAATTCCAATAAGTTCATAGTTTAATTGATTAATTTCTAATGAGTTTTTTCGTTCCTATATAAGCGATATTAGGAGAGGGAGAAATCAAATGTAGGACCTCGAGTGCAAAGCTAAATGTTAATTTCTAATAAGCTTTAACTTAAAATAAATATGTATTAAATGATACCAACAAACTCATATTATCAAAATAAAAATATGTTCAACAACATTGAAAGTGTACCTATTTTAATGTATATGTATATTGATTCTATGCAACTAAATTCATAAAAACTTTGATTTTTTGGACTTTAATAGGGTAGTACATATTGGACTATATATAAAACAAGTTAAACATATATATATATATGTGTGTGTGTGTGTTTGATTATTTTTTTTATCCCCAAAATCTCCATGGGCTACAGCCCAGTATAGCTCTAGGAGTACTTCCGCCCATGCATCTCAGTTCTACTGTAAACGAAAACTTCAACGAGATGACCTAAGCTTTCTGAAAACTTCATAAGCTTTGCATTTATATGAACTTCTGGGTTAACTTTTCATAACATTACCTTTATGTTCGTCATTCGATACATTTTTTTTCTTTCTATAAATCGATATTAGTTTATTCAAGATTATTGGCACATCAAGAAAATCTATCACTTGCGTTTGAGATATGGATCTATGAGTGACGATGAGGAGGGGTTCAATCCAACCATTAAATCATTAAAAAGGTTTAAGTCAAATATTTCCTCTCTCTCTTGTTAGATAATGAGATTGAAAATCTTCCACAATATTTCTTTTCTGCTAGATGACTAGGCTGGAGTGTCCATTGTTTTGGGCCTCTGGCACATGTAACAGAAAAACAGCTAATTTCATACACTTCCGAATTATAAAAAGCAACCAAATTAATCAACCAAAACAATTAAACTTTATTCTTTTGTTTTTTGGGTCCAAAAACAATTAAACCTTCTGGAAAAGGAAAATTACTATTTATTCCCAATTGAAAATGGACACTGTTTTCCTCTTGGGTTAAAAATACAAAAAGAAAAATCTCTACACACACGTCAAACTGTGATTGGCGGGAAAGCACACTCCACCTTTGAAAAAAGTAAATTATTTTGAATTATAAAAAAAAGAAGAAGAAAGAAGTATATTATTAATTGAGAAATGGAGAATATAATAAGCTTCTCCTTACAAGGCCATAAACCATGCAATACTTTGGTATACAATAGTTTATTTTTCTCCTTACTTACAAGGCCTTTATTTTTTGTTTCTTCTTGTTCTTTTCCTCAAGGAACTACAAGTCTGAGAGCTAGATGAATAGACGAGTGGGATACTTGAGGCAAGATACAGTGGGCACAGTAGAGCCGGAATTTCCTTTGGCATTGTTGCAACTTGCGTAAACCTTCTTACTTGGAATCGTTGAGGTGATATTTATTTTCACCAGTTCAATGTTTTGACAACCCCAAATTTGGTTGCAGTCTAATTTGATGGCCTCCTCATTTCCACAAGTTCCTCTAAAATCAGTGAATCTCACATTGCTCACCAGCACAGCTTTGCTCTAATAATCAGTATTTCAAACAAGTTAGCATTGCCAGCATATTTAAAACCACGAGAATTGATTACGTTGCCAAATTTTGAATCAAGACTCATTGATTATGTCGATTCTCATTTCAATGTGTAGTCTAGATTCATAATCTAGCAACATATAAGTATGACAAAAAAAACGTTACCTGCTTTGCGCAATCGTGAGCACCGTTGCAGTATTGTTGGTCAATAATGATGGGGTTTTTAGTTGCGGTAAGTGTGATGTTCTCGAAGGTTATATTCCTAGCATATCCGGATCCACCCTAGAAATTTACAAGAACAATACTTTAGAGCTTGAAACTAATAGATATCACATGATATATGAGATTCTTAATGGTACATCGATCGTTATAATTACCGGCCATGTCTTGATTCTTGCTCCATTTTGAGTTCCATTAAAACTACAATCTCTCACGTATACATTTTCCACTGCAGCATAAGCCCCATCTGCTCCTAAGCTTCCCACACTGTTTGCAAACAGAATTTGACAAATTAAACACTGAATATGGTAAATTCAAATAACTTTAGTTATGTGTGGTTATTTTGGACAAACCTAATTCCATGACCTGGTCCGCACGCAATCTTGGCGATCCTAACATTGGAAGCACCAGTACCGAGTGCAATGCAGTCATCACCTGTAACAAAAATGGAAAGCAAAAAAGAAGCTATAATTGCCTGCAAAACAATGTGCATGGTCAATGAATGAAAAATGAATTAACTTTTAATTACCAGTTCCAATTTTAGAGTCATGAATATAGACAAAGGTTGAGTTTGCGACGTTAATTCCATCAGTGTTTGGACTTTCATCAGGTGCAATTATAGTAAGATGGGAGATATCCACGTCATTGCTTGTGCCTATACCAATATGAGATTTTGGGCTGTTTATATGAGTGAGTCCACTCAATCGAAGATGATCACATCGGTGGAATTGAAGAGCCTGCATTCACATTATAAATTTTAACACAACTTAAAATTTAATAAAAACATAGCCGTTCATTCAAATTCAAAGAGTAATGTTTTCTTGTCAGACGTATTTAGAAAAGAAAAAAGAAAATCAACTTAATTATGGGTCTAAATTTACAGTACGATAATATAATAGCAACTAACCTTTGGTCTTTCGCACTTCTCCCTATTCCCCTGTATAAATTGAGTGATAGTATGTGGTATTAGATAGTTGAATATATATATAAAATATATAATGACCACAGAATTTCAACAGATGTGAATAGAGTTTTACATTTATAAAAAAGCTATTTTCGGTCACTTTGCTCCACCAAGCTGAACCCTGGCCGTCAATTTGTCCTGAACCATCGAGTATGAGATTGTCCACATTTCTAAATGAAAGCCAACTATATGGTGGACACACTTTCCATGCATCGGGCGTTTTGGGTGCCATCAAATTACCCGAGACCTGCCCTCCACCCCCAATAGGAATAGGAAAGGAAAAATAAAAAAATAAAAATCATATGTGAATGAATAATCACATATGAATAGAGGATTTATAATAAATTAGATTTACTTTCCATTTTAAAATAGTTGAGTTTATTTGTTAAGATTGATTGTCACTGCTAATTATATATATATATTTTAGTGTTGTCTTACCTGAACATGAACACTCTTTGATTTGCAGGGACCTTCAAATTCCAAGGGCTGCAATAAGAATGTTTTTCTCCCTGGTATGATAAGTATTGGTACGTCATCACCAGCTGCAGCTGCTCCACATAAGGCTGTCCATGCTTTTACAAAAGCCTGTATCATGCAAAGTCAAGAATATAAGACTATGGAAAATGGAAAAGAAAAACAAAATGTTTTAATTTTCAACTTATTATATTGTCAGATTGAATTATGGTATGAATTGACAGTATGACAACATTAATAAGTCGGGCTATCTAACGAAAGAATATTATACTCGACGGAAAACCTATACACGTTAAATGCCTATAGACACAATTGAAAGAAAGAGAAGTTACTTCGGTATCATCAGTTTGTCCATCTCCAACAGCACCAAATTTGACAACATCAAATGTTGTTTTGCTGTACACAATACCAAGCAACTGAGATGAAGCAATGCAAAATACGAAACAGCTAGTAAGTATGGCCAGCATTTTTTCACAAAACTAAACCGAAGTTGAAGCAGCAGAAGAAAAAGAATAGTGGAGTCCACCAGTTGAAAGAAAAGTATCAAATATGTTTTTATAACAATATGATTAGTTTGAGAAATTTACTAGGCTATGTAGCATTATATATGGTACCCGATGAGAGAAAAAATAATGCTTATCCAACAAATTCATCAAAATGGATAATTTAGATCTTGGTGATTGAGAATTATTTTTTTCCATGTTAATTACGAATCCAGATATATTGCTCAGAAAGTGGCATTTTCTTAGAAAGGATGACTAGCTTTAGAGTAAACCATTGATCACCTAGATATCACACGAAACCAAGTAGGCCGCATATATAAGAATTTGTGTAAATTTTCCATTTCAATAAGTTACGAATCATCTTATTAGCTTAACTGGATTAGATTTTATGGTTGAATGATGAATCAAGCAAGAGAACGTTATGCCAAAAGATTTACACTTGTTTTGGCATATGAATGATGGTCATATGCAAGGTCTAAAATATCGACGGTATTGGAAATATCGGTAGTCCAAAAATATGGAAATTTTTATGGAAATATTATGATATTATCAATATCGATAAAAATTGAATAAAAACCACAGAAATTGTAAGAAAAACTTGGAAATTTTTCTTGAAACTTTGGAGGATGTTTATTAGGTCAATTATCTATTAGTTTTTCACACAAAAAATTAGAAGAAAATTCATTGCATGATGGGTTTAACTGATTTAAGTTAATTATATAGCGAGTTGACAAACACTATGAGTGTAGAAAATATGTAGTAATTAATGAAAGAAGATTAAGCACACCATAATCATTTATATATAATGATTTACTACAATATTTTACACTTTATACATTGCATGATAAGACACATGAGTGACTATGAGGTTCAAAAATTTCAGTATCTTCATCATCTCTATGTGTAGAGTAAGTGTATTGTGAGTAGTTATCAAATCCCCAAAATAGTTTTTCATGTAATTGTTAACATGCCACCTATCTGGATCAGAGATTGGTTGACGTTGTCCATAAACAAAATCATTTGAAGATTAAGTCTCGGATTCTTTCCATAAGCTGCTCGATTCCATCCCAAAAGGAAATGTCAAAGACTCACGTTCTCATATGAAAATATAATTCTTGCAAAAACAGTTCAAAACAAAACAATATAAACATACATATTTTAGCATATTATCACAAAAACATAAGCAACATGGTGGTTAAGGCGTTGGTGGAGTGAAATAGTAAGAGTTTGAATCCCCTTTTTCCTGTGTGCTTTGTGTTTTTTTTTCCCCATTACATCGATATTTTAGATATGAGTAATGCTAGGCTTATCACATTTTTCATACCACAATTGTACCACATCTCTAATAGAGGTGGGCCCCATTGTATTGGTGGGCTCCACCTCTATTAGAGATGTGGTACAATTGTGGTATGAAAAATGTGGTAAACCTAGCATTTTCCTTTAGATATTATAGCGATTTTGACAAAATATTGCTAAAGTGTGAGCAAAATTATAGACATCGATATTTTTCGATATTATTGTTGATATCGATATGTGTATGGATACATTTCGAAATATCTGTGACCTTAAAAAACGATAATATCCTCGATATTTCGTCGATATTATCGATATTTTATACTATGCTCAAATGTTCATTTTTGTAAGTGTTACACACATTAATAACTACTTTGTTGGCATATACATATCGCATAAATATTGATAATATCGATGATAATACATGGATCATGAGCCTAAGCATTTAATTTTCGTGCATTTACTCGCATTTTACAATATCTAGATCATTGTTATAATTTAATCATTTAAGACTTGACACATTAGCAAATGTTGAAAAATCTAATAACTTGAAGCATTAGAAATTTTAATTCCATCTAAAATTTAAAAATAAGACTAAAAATTACAAAAGCCAAAATTAAAAAAACCAAAAAGCCAACTCCCCCTTCCCAATCCCTATCCCCGCCACTGCTACCCACCCCGCACACCACTCATATCGTCATGCCTCTCTCAAAACACTTGTCTGTTCCGGTGTTCCTAGTTGGTACAAGGATTGTAGGGATGGGATTTGGCACACTGAAAGCCTAACTCCCCTTTTCCCTTCCCCTTTACCACAAGCACCCCACCAATTACGGCTACACCAGTGAGCCCCCAAAGCAATCTTCTAGTTAAGGGACGAAACCCACCAGCCAATTACTGTCTCTGCCTTAGGTAGAAGAATGATCCACTACGAATGAATGTGAAGATTGGAGCAGCCTCATCCGGAGCCCTTTTGCCAAAGAAGTCGTAGTCCCTTCCCCCACCACCTATGGTGGCAGCTGCGTGATTTTTAATTTATATTTACTTAATTTTTTTGAACGATAAAATAACTGTTTATTTTAAAATAATTTGCTGATAAAAAGAAAAATAAAAAAAATAAATTTTGATGTGTCATATCATAAACGTTTAGATAATAAGAATAGTCCAGATATTCTGAAATTTCGGTAAATGCATGAAGACTAAATACAGAGGTTTGTGATCCTCTGATACACTGCATTCATCAATCACTTGATTTACTAATTTTCTTTTAAGGTAACATACATCCGCTATTTTCCCAATTCACAAAATTAATACATGATGAGCTCAAAAGGCAATTTAAACAAATAATCTTATTATAGAAGAAATTATTCCAGAAAGAAACACATCTCATTTGGATAGGCAATCAACATGAGGGGATGTAGAGATTGATGTTCCATTGGCATTCTTGCATAAAGATCTGAGTGGCTTTCCAGGCACCATGGAGTTTAATTTGACATGATCCATGACAATGTTGGTGCAGCCCAAAGCTACAACAATTCAGTGTTGTTGCTTGCTGGCTAGTCGAAGTTCCTTCAAAGCCACTAAATGTAATATCGCTCACTTTCACTCCTCTGTTATCATCTACATAGTTTTGGTCAATGATGATCGGATGCTTGGTCTCTGTGACTGTGATTTGCTCAAAAGTGATTGCCCTAGCATACCCTGATGATCATGGCCCACTCTCAATATAGGAAAAGGTTCTATATAAAATAAATAATAAAAAAAGAGGAGAAAAAGCATTCAAATATATTACTTTATAATTACTTAGAATGCTTATTAGAAGGTTAATGTTTGAAATTAATCAGATAAACTGAACTGAGTTCATGAGAGTATGAAAGTGTTGGATTTAAGTTTAATTTTGAATTTGTATAATAATACGATTTGAATATATTGGTTCATGAATTTACTTATTTACATGTATAAATAGAGTATATAGTTTCACCAGCTTGTGTATATATTAACCATCTGCCTCAGTTATTCCGTGGTGTTATTTTTTTAGACTCAAATTGAAACATTTGCATCCAAGCCCTATATGTTTTTGTATTCTCACTATATTAATTACTCAAATTCCCAATCATCAATGAGGCCTCTTCCAAAGAATATTAGACATCAGAATTAAATTCTCTCTAATTCACCACTCCTAATTGAAATTTTTTTTTTTTAAAGTACAAACGATAGTCTAAACTACAAGAGGGGGTTCTCTCACACACAACCAACATGTCATGGAGGTTCGAACCTTAGATTTATGGTATGCAAGTCAATGTCATTTTCTACTGGGCTAGACCCTATTGACACCACTCCAAATTCATTTGTGTATATATAACTAAGGAAAATACTTGGCTCCTTGCATGTAAAGAGTCATTCCTTCTTGTAGACAAATCACAATATGACGTATAATCTTTCATTCAATAATTTGAATGAGTTACATTTGCATATGTACCACGAGACGAATGACTCCTGTAAGGAGTCAAGTAGTGTCCTATAATTAATCTCCATAGGCATTTTGATTAAAATACAAAATCTTCATCTTCTCTATAGCGGAGCCCCAGGCAATCATGGTGCAGGCAAGGCACAGCAGGGGTGGTGCAGCTTGAGGTTCCATTAGCAGAAACTTGATGAGTTCCAGAGGCCCATGATGTTATGTTGACGTGGCTCATTCTGATATTTGTGCAATTTGTGCTTGCTGCACAGTTCAACGTGATTGCATTCTGCACAGCGCCGGTTCCCCTCACTCCAGTATATGTCACATTGCTCAAGCTGAGACTGCCTTGGTCTGCCACATTATTATAAAGCATATAATTAGTAATTATATTGTGTGTGGATTTAGTTGTTATACTGTCTCGGGTTTAAATCCAGGCAACACTTAATTAGACTTTCGAAATAATAAGCTTATTGCTTGCCTGCCAGGTCTTGATCCTTGCTCCATACATAGACCCTTTAAAAGTACAATTTCCCACAAACACTTCTTCAACTGTTTCATATGCTCCACCTGCTCCAAGGCTTCCCATGCTACAAGAGACAGAGTTATATTCATTTTCATATTTACTTCCAAGGCTTCCCATGCTACAAGAGACAGAGTTATATTCATTTTCATATTTACTCCCTCAGGCAACGTTCTGAGTTCGAGTCCTAACATCCGTGTAGTGTGTGTGAATTTAGTATATTATAACCCATCTCAATAAAAAAAGATCCTAAAAAATAAAAATAAAATTTACCTCATTAATATCCTATTTATACATTTTCATCCTATTGCCGTAAGTGCATCCATCTCTCACAATAGTGGATGTGGAACTCATAGTTTCACATAAGTTTTTCTCTTATCCGTCCTGTGCTACCTAATAATACCAGACCAAAGATAAACAAAAAAATTTGGTCATTGACATACCTTACTCCATGCCCTGGGCAACACATAATCCCCGTAACATTGATATAAGAAAATTTTTCCTTAATAGCAATGCAATCATCCCCCCTAACATTAATAATGAGTATTTTCAAGTTGTTATCATTCATAATAATAAGAACAAGAACATATCATTCATAATAATAAGAAAAAGAACAACACGTAGTTTTTTTAAAAGAACCTCGCCAGTACGAAGAAAATTATTTAAATCAAAAAAGAATACCCGATAATTAAGTGGTAGATATATGAGATTACCAGTTGTAATGGTACTTTGATGGATGCTCACATTTGTTGCGGAGTAGAGATCAATTCCATCAGTGTTAGGGCTTGATTCAGGAGCATTTATATTGAGATGAGAGAGAGTTACATTTTGGCTGTAACTTATACCAATGTGACCTTTTGAGCTATTAACATGAGTGAGTCCCCTAAGCTGAAGATTAGGGCAGTTGGAGGTGTAATGCCTGCAATATATATCACGCTTAATAAATTAGCCAATTCTTAATTACCTAAATTCTATTGGGGTTTTTCATATTATGTTTATATATAATATGTAGTGAATCAAAAAAAAATTCATAATATTGAGAAGAGTGTCTTACTCTAGATATATAGCAAGTTCCCACACCCTGAAAAGGACCCGGATTCGCTGCTTGGATTTTCTCTGTCATGATCTACTTTACTTTTCTTCTATGCGCGCCACCTCATTAAAATTTCATCTAAGGGACTCTAATGTTGACACATCACACACAAAACCCAAATAAATATCCGGTTTGAACTAACTTGAATGTGGTCTTCTTTCTTCATCTTTTTTTTTCAGCATCCCAGCACGCTCTCCTTTCCAACCTCACAGTCTCTCCTCTTCCCATATGAAACTCAGTTCTTGCTAATGCCCAAAATTTCATCATGCAACTCTGGTACTACTTTCATATCATAAACCCAATCTCTCAAGTATGAAATATGAATCAAAACATCTGAACCAAACTAACAAATAGTGAGCACAGTTGGCTGCATCTATTTTTCTTGGAAAACGAATGACCTTCCTAGAGCAATCTTTACTTATGTATAGATCTATTATTTTAATTTTTTCCACAGAATTTCTTGATTTTGTAATTCTAATTATGTTTTTTTTTTTTTTTTGAGAAAGAAATGTAGGTTTATATTCCGATTCAGTTCAATTTTGATACGGGTTACATCTGAAAACCATGGTTGAAATGGCTATGGTGGTCATGTACGACTCATTTGACATCTTCTGATCTTTCTTTGGTGGTAGCCCATTCAGTGAGAATATTTGTGTTGTGGTTCTTATTTTGTGAAAAATAATTGTAGTCACATGAATTGTGTTTGTTTCTATGATGAGAGTGATAGTAGAAGAGGACTAAGATAGAGGCATGGAGAAGATACTGTCTTTGGAAGAAAGAAAAATTGAAAAGAAAAAAATGGAAGAGAAAAGGGCTGCACACGTTAACTCACGTTAGGTTTAGGAATTGTTTTTTTCAAAACAAAAATTATTAGGCATTTAGGTTTTGTGTGTGATGTGTCAACATTAGAGTCCCTTAGATGAAATTTTAATGAGGTGACGCATATAGAAAAAAAGTAAAGCCGATTATGATAGAGAATATCCAAGCAAAGGATTCGGAAGCCCCTTTTTTAACCAAAAAGATGAGTCATACATAGGTCTCCAATCGTGGATCCCACGAGAAATGAGAGAATCAAAATAGTTCAAATCCAAATATCGGTGCCAAGGATCCATTTCAACATGATCATAGTGTGTTGTTTCCCTTTTCCCTTGAAATGGTCGGGAGAGAAAACACTACGGATTGTGAGTTGATTAATTTTTGTCTCGAATTTTGGCCGAAATGGCCGGAATTACTGGACTCTCATCATTTCAGGGTTCAAGGCACCGTTCTATCGGCCTGATGTGGTGGCTTTTCTGTTTCTTTGTTTATTTCCAGACCAAAACATCGCTAATTTAACATACAATTTAAAACCAAGTTCCTGTTTTTTAAAATTATTCCTTCATAGGAGAGGACTTTCATAAAGATTGCCTAAATTAAGAAAACTTGCATAGCACGAGAACAATAAAGGAACTGATTCTTCTCACACAAGATCATTTTTCTTGTAAAATCTTCATACCGACGTTTAAAAGCGGAGAAAGTACATAAAATTCCCTCCAAGTTGTTCTAACCCACAGGGGCATAAAAGTTGGAGCGCTAATTAATACAAAATAATACTGCAAATGGATACTAAAAATTCAAACGCGGCTACACCTCAAAGCCCTAGTTATGCCTGCCTGCTGCTACCTTTCTTTGTTGTGTGGAGGAAGGGCTGCAAGTTTCTAGAGACCACAAGTTCAAAGACTTATACATCAACTTTGAGCTTCTACCTCATAAAACAAATCGTTTAAAATCAATCAGTCTGACAGAAAAAACAGAACGTCCTGCGACACACTCCTTCATCCCATCCTCCAATATCCCATGCCTTCATTGTAAACTGAGAGACCCAAACTTCAATTAAGACGGCACTGCATACAACAATAGTAGATTATTATGCGTAAGTGGGATCCTGTTAAGCCATGTAACAAAGTGGAGAACAGGGCATAAAATTTGAATGGGTGAACCAAATGAGTACACTAATCCCACCAAAAGCTCCCTCAGTTTTCAAGGTAAGACAACATATATACCACTCGTATTTTACTCTTTTTTTCTGTTTTAAAAATAGAACTATCCTTCTGTATTAAAGAGAAGAACTGTAACAAAATATTGCTGTTAAATTTTTCGCTCGAGAAAAAAAGTTGCAAGTGGCACTCCATGATCCCAATGAGTTATTCTCCACCCTTTATCCATTTTTACATTCCCATATAAGACCCAAACATTTATGATAAAGAACGATCTCTACTTCTTTCCATTTTCAAATAATATACCAAAAACTAGCAGTTAGCACACAATGAGAAATCATCAAACAAAAAAACCAAGGCCGAAATACTATTTTACTATCAAAGTCGACCGTATATCAGAATGACACAAAATAAACTTTGAACCCAGCAAGAAAACATACTGTATGTGGCAGTATCAATCTGTTCAGGAAGCTCCTTTATATCAACCTCAAACCTTTCCTGAACCTGCATTTATAAACCCAAAAAGATTAAAACTGACAAACTGCAAAAATAAAAACAATAAACAAAGTGAAAGTTCAGAAGGAAAACTGATTCCATACATCATTAAGAACATCAGAGTCCGCTGCAGATGAAACAAATGTAATTGCCAGACCTTTGGTGCCAAACCTACCAGCTCTGCCAACCTGTGCAAATTTCAATGTGAACACTCGAAGTTAGATGCATCCGAGGTATATTCACCAATGTGTTAAATTTCATATTAACAGTAATAATATAACCAAACATATGTTTTGCATCAGGGATAATCTAAATAAGCTTATTCCATTCACAGTTCTCATATAACTCCTAAGAGATGCACTACACAACAAAATAAAATAATTGAATACCATTTGCATAAAAGATACATAACTCTGTATAAAAAGGCATCCGCAAATAGAAAATGTATTGGGAACAAAAATAAGTTAATATTCCACACCGCACTTGCACTTCATTGGCATGCATATTTGATAGAACCATTGAACTTTCCAACCTTGCATATTAATGTTTGTCAACATGAACACAGCCGCAAGTAAATGTATATGCATTATTATCATATAAATAAATGCATTGTCAATATCAGGCCTCTCATTTTCTCGCAGCCACAAGTAAACCCATAATTCCCTTCTGGAAAAGAAGCAAGGGCATATATTGATGTACCATACCATCCGCAATACCCCCAAAAGAAGAGGAAGAAACAGAAACAAAATCATAAAGACAAATATGATACCTACATTAAAAATTCAGTTAAAAAAGAGACTACTTTCAAACCAAGGAAATAATATTAACCTACCCTGTGTAAATAAGTGTCAGCAGAATCTGGCATGTCATAGTTGATAACAATGTTAACACGCTCAATGTCGATTCCTCTGCCAACCAAATCTGTGGCCACAAGAATCCTGTTATGACCCTCCTTGAATCCTTTGTAGCGCTTCAACCTACAAAATGCATACCATTTAAGATTAAACACTAGAATATAACTTAGCCAAACAATGAGAGTTCAACAAGACACTTCATATTGGAGATCAGGACACTCGAAAAAGCTCGCTTGCTAAGTTTACATCAAACTTTATAAAAACTTCACACACACAAAATCATCAGAGGGAAAATTACAAACCTTTCTTCTTGGTTCATTCCAGAATGGATGCATATAGAGGGAAAATTGCACTCTGAAAGTAACTTGTTCAATTCAGCGGCTCTGCTCACGCTCTTGACGAATATAACAACTTGGTTGAAGTCCAGTGCATCAAGGAGGTCGTTCAACTTGCGGTTTTTCTCTGCCTCGGTTAACTTGATGTAGTGCTGAAATATCGTATATAGAGGTGAGATTCACATTAATGAATAACTATAATCAACTGAAAGTCCACTTGCAAAATACAAACCTGTACTAGACCATGCAGGGTCAACTTGGCTTCATCGTCAACATATATTTCCATAGGCTGAAAGGAACAAATGTCACAGTAAATCATATTAGGGGCCTTCCTCAAGCTAATAGAATCCAGAACGAAATGAATGACGGATGCAGATCTCCTGAATCAAGATTCTGGTCCATCTGTTTTGTCTCCTCGAAGATACTTTTTCTAAACCACACCAAGCCACCACCATTTACACATTGACCCTCAATACTAAGAAATTTGACAGCTTACCCAGGCTGATCCCAGTTGACACCAACTCGATCACCCCACAGACCCACTCACCACCCACCCTCAACTAGCGAACCCCAAAATATCCTTGACTGAAAAAAATTAAACCCACAGGTGACTTACTAAAAACATAAAAAAGCCCAACCAAGAGGGGAAAAATGAACCTAAGGATATGGTAATGCAGAACACAAGGCACTCATCCAACAGAACTGTGAGAACTCCTAAGAGATGGCCTCCTCCTTGTGTCTCACTTTTTCTTTTTTACTCCAGTTGAACACCCTCGTCAAGCCGCAAATTCCAAATAAATGACAGACTATGGTATCCATATTAACAAAATGCCAACGGCAAGCACGTCATGGAACCGCCGCATTCAACCTAATTACATAACTCTCGGAGAAAGTGGGATTATGAAAAAAGAGACTTCAAAATTGAAGTAGAATCAGCCATGGGACATTACATCTTGCATAAATTTCTTGCAAACCGGGCGGATTTCTTTGCTGAGTGTTGCAGAAAACATCATCACTTGCTTATCATGCGGCGTCATCTTGAAAATCTCTTGCACGTCTCTCCTCATGTCTGCACAGAGTATAAGGCAAATAATAAGAAAATGAGTGAACAATAACTGAGACATACATGAAAATTGAAACAGAGCACAAACATTATCTGTAAAATGAAAAGCAGAAAAAAAACATACCTAGTGATTCAAGCATTTTGTCACATTCATCAAGGATGAAATGCCTCACATTCTTCAAGGAGAGGTCTTTATCCCTTGCCAATGCCAATATTCTTCCAGGCGTTCCAACAACAATGTGAGGGCATTCATTTTTCAGCAAATCTTTGTGAAGTTTGATATTGACACCACCATAGAAGACAGCAACCTTGAGATCAGGCAAGTATGTACTGAACCTCTCAAATTCATGACAGATCTGCACAGGAGTAAAGTAACATAAGTAGGGAATTTATATACATGAACATAAGGCAAAAAATTAATTGAACAATAATATTATAAGAAAGAATGCAAATCCCAAATGTACCTGGTAAGCTAATTCTCTAGTATGGCAAAGAACGAGTGCAGAAACTTGGCCTGCTACAGGGTCAATCTGCTGCAAAGTTGATAGAACAAAAACAGCAGTTTTCCCCATCCCAGATTTAGCTTGACAAATGACATCCATTCCCAGGATAGCTTGAGGAATACATTCATGTTGCACTGATGAAGAACCAAAGAAAACCGCATCGATGGAACCATTGGTAAGTAAAACATAACCTCTCCAATCTTTTTATGAAAGTCTTTATCAAAAGCATACTAGTTCTCTGAATTCAAGATTATGATAGTAGAACAAATTACCTGCACAAACATGCATCAAATTGAATTAGAATTGAACACATAAAAAACAAATGAGAAGAAGGTAAAAGAGAACAAGAAAAAAAACCTACTGAATCCTTATAATGGAAGCGAATTTCCAAAACATGTGCAAACTACTTAGGAGAGAAGGACCATTATCTGACCTAGAGCATAGCAATCCAGGAAGTTAAAAAAAAAAATCCACCAACACCCTTTCCATGAGAGAAAAGTGGAAATTCCATTTTCAATTTTATTTGTGCATTTAAAAGAATTTACATGATACATCAGAACAATCATTTTTAGAATTTAAGATAACTAAGAGTGAATTCATCCTTCTTAGGATTTAATTCTTAAAGGCAAATTCATCCTTTATAGTCATTTGACTTGGAAAGGGAAAAACTGATAAGCAGTGAGTAAACTAAATCTTAATCCCAGCTCCGTATCTAAAAGGAAATTCCAAATGAAACAAAGAGAACACAGGTTTGAAATGTCACAAGAAGAAACCATCCAAATTTCCACATGTTAACTGAAAAATAATTAGTCTGATGAACATTTATGACATAAACTGGAATGAAAGATATACTTGTATATATGAAAATAAGATCACGGGCTTAACTGGCAAACTAAGAGTCAGGATAACATTGTTTGTTTTTGGCTACAAATTCCCGCAGAAAACAAAATCAATAAGTATGAGTTTAAAAGTTTGCCTTCAGACGGATGCTCAAACCCGGAGTCCACAATAGCTCGAAGAAGCTCTGGCTTCAAAAGGAAATCTCTGAACCCTGAACTGTGAATTCCAACATATCCCCTGCACAAAACCAAAAATAACTTAAAAATTAGACCTAAATAGAAATCAGAAGCAGTCATGATCACAATTCGTATTTGAGCAATCCCATTCAAGCAACAGATAATATACAATTCATAGAACAAAAAGGTTGACCTTCTTCATTTTCATCCTAATTTCCTGTGTTTCCTAAGCAACCAAACTACAAACTTATTTCTCTTCGTTGCCTAATCAATCTGATCAAGGAAAATAGGTCAAAATCCATAAAGCGAAAACTCACTTCTTAGGGGCTTCGCCATTGACTTTAGCTGCGGAGTCGGGGGCCTTCTCCTCCTCTTCTTCATAATCGACAAGCTCCTCCTCGTACACATCATCCCTTGTTTCGCCCATATTCTGCTGAGAGAGACCTCAATTAGGGTTTCGAAGCTTGAGACGCAAATTAGGGTTTTGAATTTTGAATCGGACAGAGTTAAAACAAATTAGGGATTTGGAGAGAGAGAATATACCTGTGTGAAAGTGTGAGTAGGTTGAATTAGGGTTAGGGTTCGGAGTTTGGAGTCTGCAAACGAAAACGTTAGATGAAAAAACGAATTTGAAATTTTTCGCTAAGAGACTCGAGAGAGAGCCGGGATGAGACCTCGACGAAAAAGGAGAGCAGAGTGAGGTAGATAGGGTTACGAGGATTGGATTGGAGCCACATATTTATATAGCCTAGTCCCTTAATTGCCCTTGCCGTTTACAATAATTACAACAACAGCTATGATTTGTTAGCATTTTTCGTGGGATTTTTTCTTGAGGTACCAACTTGGCATTTTTTACCGATAAAGACTTGTGCAATTTTTCACTTACTAGAAATGAGAGAAGTCATCAATTTCGAATTATGAAATTGAGGTTTCGAAGAGAGAAGAAGCAAAAATAAGATAAATTGCTCTCTTACTCAATTTAATTTATCTTTCTGTAGATATTGAATTGTTAATTTTTACGGAGAACTCACAAAATTTTTATTCCCATATATTAGGAAATGCAAAATAAACACAAGAAAGTCATAGATTGAATAATTCCAACACATGAGTAATTATATAATTAGCTTCTTTTACTAACTCAAAAAAAAATTTAGAATTTGGTATTACAAGTATGTACAAATTATTAATTGATATTTAATTAAATAATGAGATAAATATAAGTTGCTAATGGTCAATTTTATATTAAAATGACATGTTTTGATGAAACTAACTTAGAAAGATTCTCACACTGATCCAACAACAATGAAAGTGAAATCCTTTTTGTTTTATATCGAAGCATATTAAGATTGAAACAGATTATCACCAACTTATTAATTGTATCTCATGTCATTGGAGAACTTTATTATTAGTGGCTCAGTAACATTTGGTACGTTATTTGTCGCATGAAGTCACACCCTTGCACGTGCTAGAGTCAATGGAAGGTTTTTTATTTATTTATTTATTTTTTATTTGTTGGTTTTAATATAAAAAAAAAATGAAATGGCCAGTGAAGTATAGCTTAGTTGGTTGAATTCTTCCATCTCTACTCTTGTGGGCTGAGGTTTGAAACCACCAGGTACCTAATGAATACATGGGCACAGAGGTTTGAAACCCTCAGACACCATATGAATATTTATGTAAACTTCCATTCCCAATCGCTTATACTAAAATTAAAAGAAATTAAAAAATGGGAAAACACTTTCTTTATAGATATAACCAAAAAGGTTAAAAGATGCTTTATGCCAAGTTACACAGAACACCATTCTCAAGCCCAATGGCCCAAACAGAACCTTCAAGACAAATCTTCCACCTATGAGAAGATATCTCATTGTGAGGCTTTAGCTCCCAGCCACATCCTGAACTATAAAGCTGACTGATGTTGCTAGCTAGCTAGCTACTTGCTCCCTCATTCTTCAATGGCCTATGCTTTGTACTTGGTACCTTTAAGCTCCTTAAAAGCCACACCAGAACCAGGTCTCTCTCTCTCTATCTCTATCTCTCTCTCTCTCTCTCCCTCTCTCTCTCTCTTGTTTATCTGAGTTGTTAATTGATCACTGACTCAATGCTTACCGAATGTGTAGGCAACCATAGCAGCACTCAAGGGCTTGTTCGAATAGATAACCTGGTTCAAAACTCTACAACTGCTAGGTTTTTCCATGTGAAAGCTAAGGTTCTTTAACTCTTTCCTCCTTTAATCTTACTTGAATTACTTGCTAATTTGCAAAATATTTGGAATTCAAGTTATTTTTCGATATACATAGCTTTGATGCATAGATAAGTACATATAACATACTGGGTTTTATTTATGTTGGTAGATGTTAGATATGTTGGATGCTGAAACTTTGGTCTTTTTGATCCCAATAGGCTGAAAAAAGTAATGAAAGCATAAAACCCAACAGCATGGTTTGCTCTGATTGTGAAGGAAATGGTAAGCTGGCTGTTGGAAATAAAGAGTGCTAAGCATGTAATCTATTTGGATTTGGATAAATTTGTATTGTGCTGTGCAATTGAGCAGGTGCAGTTCTCTGCTCACAATGCAAAGGTAGTGGACTGAACTCTGCTGATCTCTTCAATGGGCAGTTTAAAGCTGGTGACTCATGTTGGCTTTGCGGGTAACCAAGCACCTCCTCCCTCCTTTTTTTTTACATGGCCACCATCCTTCATTGCCATCACAAAAGAACACAATTTTGGAACTCACTGAGACAGATTCTACGTGTTGTTTCGTTCTTATTATTAGCATTTCCTTGCAGTGGAAGAAAGGAGATGTTGTGCGGAAATTGCAACGGAGCTGGGTTTCTTGGAGGATTTATGAGCACTTCTGATACTACGGCTGGCTGATGAAGCTAGCCTTTCTCTCTGCCTTGAAGTATGTCATTTGGTGTACAACCTTCCTAGCTTCATACTTATGTACATTGCACTATGTATAGATGATGAAGTCTATAAGCATATGAAATCTTCAATTACAAAATTTATTTTTCGAAATATATTCATGACCTTGTAGCCTATTAGTACTTGCTATGGATGGAAACTTATGGGATTTCAGATTATAATGTGGAGTTTGCTGTTCGGGATCGAATTTGATTGGGAATTTCATCTTAAAATATGCATATATTTGAATATTATAAGTACAGATAGAAGTAGAAGGTTTTCATATATCCATTAGCTTCCATATGGCTCATTGGGATGTCTTAGTGATGACCATCTGAAAATGGCTAATGGCTCCTGATGAATTCAGTCATATTTCGCTCAAGCAAACGGGTTGCCTCAGATTCAGGGTGAAAAACATGAAACACATGAGACTCCTTCTCAGCCTCCACCAGCTTCACTTCTGTAACTCCTTTTTTCTGTAGAAACTCAGCATACATCACTCCCCTCTCTTTCAAAAAATCCAACCCTGCCACATAAACTGCCACAGCAGGGAACTCATCGATCCATTCGGTTGCAGACAGTTGTGTCTTCTCAAAGTTACATCCGAAATAGTCACGGTTGGAGCCCTCAGGTATACTTAGTCTCCAAAACATGTCAATGCTTGCCACATCCCCTGCTCCCTCTTCAGCCATCTCTTTCTCGGTTCTCTTTTCACTCCCAAAATAAGGATGTATCAACAATAAGCCGCTTATTTTGACATGACTGATTTTATTCCGAATGACTTTCACAGCAACGTTGTGTGATATGTTTCCCCCTGCACTGTCCCCCGAGAGAAACACCCGGGAGAGGTCAGCTTGGTCCAGCCATGGCTCAGAGCTTACTTGGTGACCAAGCCAATCAAGTGTGCAGTAACAGTCTTCATAAGCTATGGGGAGCCGGTTCTCTGGAGCTAAACGGTAGTCAACTGAAATAACAATGGATTGGGATGCAACAGAGAAGCCTCCTAGGAAATGATGGTAGCCAGGCCATGTGGTTGAGCCAATGCAGAAGCCACCACCATGAAAATAAACCACTACTGGAAGCTTTCTCAAGGATGTTGGATTACCAGGAAGGAAAATCCTTCCAGTAATTGGCTTTGAGGAGTCAATGATCACATCCTTGGACTTGAATCCGTTAGTTGATTCTGGTGAGGCAGGGACCACACCCGGCACAAAGCGTTTTACAGATCCATCAGAAAGAACTTCAAGAAAGTCTGGTGCTTCTTCAACTGTGGACATTTTTCTTCAAATGGAAAAGATTACTATGCACCAAAAAGATTCACATGAATGGTTTAGTGTTTTGGGGTTTAAGTAGGTTTATTGAGCATTGTAAAAGCTTTACATTTTGCATAATATACTAGCATGAACTGGTGATGAAGGATTAAAAAACCATTAGAAAACTGGTGCTGGTAAGGATTTGATGTTAGGTTCCTCATGTAAAGTGCATTTGATAATAAATAAATAAGTCATCAGTATTAGAGAATGGGTTGGTAGAATGTAAGAGGAACTGAAAAACTTAGCAGTCAAATAGTGTGTCATGTATGTTTCTTTTTTTTTTTAATAAAAATTATTGTCTAAGCTAATTAATCTAGTTTACGGAAGGAGAACTCGTACTTGAGGGCAAGGGATCGAACATGTTTCTTTATAATAAGCATATTACCCCATGCCCCCATTGTGTTCTTCCCACCCAAATATAACTACTCCAAGATTGTCAAAACTTTCAAAGGGAAAATGAGAATTTAAAATTATAATAAAAATTCCGAAACCTTTAACATGGGATAAGCTTTGAATTTTTTCCTTATAAAACTCTTTTCAGGAGAGATATCAAAATTCCTATAGACCCCCAAACTGCCCATTTTGGAAGAATTGCTGTCTGGGAAAAACAAATTAATTATATCCATACATCTTTACTTGAGTGGCTATCTCGTTCCTCAATTAGACATGCAAACATCACACTCGGACATGGCGATTGACAATGGCCAGGGAAAAAAGAAAGGATTTCCAAGGCTCAATCACATCGTTATGAGCATACAATTTGTATCTGATACTGGTGTAAATTAATTAATAAAAGGAAACCTACATCCCAAATTTGTCAAAGGAATTTATTTGGCCGCTTGTTCTAAAACAGGTATATTCTTCAAATCCTCCTCTACCACATTGGTTTGCAAAGGGGGCAATGAGAAGGCACTGACGGTTGAACTTCCACTCCGAACTTCTTTCAAGACACGCAATGCCGATATAGTTTGTCTCACATACACGCTCTCCATATGCTTTATTTCTGCAAGTTCTGTAGGAGCTCTAAATAGCCTATCTCTATTTTCAGTCACAGTCGTAGACTCACACCGTTCTTCCACTTTGGTTCCTTCAGATGGGACTGATGGGACATTCTTCGAGAAAACATGATCAAGCATAGCCTCACACTCCTTCACAAGCTTGTTCAGTACATCAGTTGTGAAGAATGGCTGTTGCATGACCCTTTGGACAAAGGGAAAGCGAATTAGAGCACCAGTTCGCTTGTCATGCTTCTTTAGTATCTTCAAAAGTCCTGTTGAGAAAATAGGAAGCAAAAACACCAAAAAAAGAACGTTTCAGGCTTCTAACAGTTAGGAAAAATCAAAGGTTGACAAGTTCCTCTATCAATTCTAGCCATTCATTTTGTGCAGAGGAAAACTAAGACAAATAGCATGCCGGCTTTAACCAGAGGAGATCTAAAAGATGTAAACCCAAACTAATGATCTTAAGTAAATTCAATCAAACTCTCCATGTTCGCTTTACTGGGTTTTACATCATTAACAACATGTAATATTGCATAATTAGTATTTTTGCAATTACAACAATAAGAGATTCATCTCATGTGTATTTGCATAACCAGAATGTCAATCTTTTCAAGACTAAGCCTCTCTTCTGCAAGCCCTGCACAACTACGGGATAAAGATTTGTACCTGTATAGTTGAGGGCACTGTAATTCTCTAACAAAACCATCTCTCCATGAAAATCCACTATTTCTCTCCCTACTTTCATCAACTCCTCAGCCGAATCCTTCACTTCTGCTACCCTGTCTTGCAGCTCCTGCATTCCAAAACCAGACCCAGAATATATAAGTAGTGAAAGTAGTCATCAACTCTTGGCAAAGAAGATAATACAGTTAATATAGCATGGTTGACAATGATTGCTGTGGTGATTAAAGACAGAAGAATTACAAGTCACAGTAAAATTAAACTGAGGGTCACAAAATGAAACATGGGCTAAGTTTTTCAATACAATTTTTCCAATCAAACTAGGTGATTAAGGATGGAAGAACAAATTGCAAGTCACAATAAAACTAAATCCAGGGTCAGAAAATGAAAAGTTGGCTCAGTTTTCTTTCTATTCAATTGGCTAATCAAACTCAAATTACAAACATAAATCTACAGCATAGTTACAAGAATCTGCGCCAATCAGCAGCAGAACATGGCCTAAAACAACGAAAAACTAACCAATTTCATCCAAAATTCAATATTATGCATTAAAGACACAATCTTTTAATCTCCTGAAGCAAAATTACCATACAAAACTGAACATAAAGTTTCTGAAATCCCAAGCAGCAATTCAATCTCTCAATTTCTAAGCAAGTTCTCAAATTCCAAAAAGAAAGAGGAAAATTTTTGTACAGAACCAAAAAAAAAAATTATACCTTCCATCTAATAACATACTCTTCCTCTTTCTCCTCAAAAAAAACATTGAACTTTTCCATTTCGTTCTCTAACAACCTCACAAAATCGGTGACCTCCTTGGAAACCTCAGCACCTTCGCCGCCCTCGACGGCGATATCTCCACCGTCCCTACGGTCGTCCTCGTCGTCGGGGTCGGCCAATCTGGGCCGTTTATTGGGAGGCTTGTCTCCGTCTTTGGGATAGATCAGCTTCAGCTGCTTCTTCAAGTCCTTGTACGATAAAAACTTGTCCCGCCATTCTGGTAAGGCCTCCTCGATCAGGATGCCGAGGCTCTTTGAGAACTTCATGCTCCCGCGCTACACCCAACACCCGAATATGGAAATTCGCCGGTGAAATGTCGGGTTTTGAGACGGCGACGTTTGGGTGAGATGAGAGACGGAGAGAGAGAGAGAGAGGGATCGGTGATTATATTTAGAAGTGGAATTAGAATATTCGTCAAGTGGGTTATGGGGAATATTCTCTTTGTTGATTAAAGGATTGTATTTTATCTTATCTTTTCCTTTTTCTTTTTCTTTTTGATATTATCTTTAGGATTGTTTTGGCCTCATTTCTTCATAATGTTGTTTTCTCTCTATGAATTAAAAATACGGGCTTTACCATATAAGGACAAATAGAAAAACAGTAAGATAAAATGATCAAGTCTCTCAAAAATTGGATAAATTAGTTCACCCACTGTCCATAGTGACGTGAATTAACTCTTATGTCATTGTCGAACAATGACCCGATAGTATTTCATGTCATCATTGGACAATGACCAAACCGTTTTATCCAATTTTGGAAGGGTTGGACCATTTTAATTGTCTTGTGTGAAGGACTTTTTAATCATCTTTTATTATAAATTACATGTTTTCAAAATATTTTACCTATAATCCATGTGGCGTGTTATTATTGGACATTTAGACTCCACACATGTGTCAAGTAATCAATTTAATATCATTTCTAATAGAATCTCACGACAAGAACCAATTTGATATACTCAACATAACCTTGAGGACCAACCATGTCACAAAAAAAATACATAAAAGATCAAAGGTGATAATTTCGTAATCATCAAAGACCATTTGTGATAAATAAATAAAAATGCTTTGTATTTATAGATTGAATTCAAATAATAGGGACTGTTTAGATTTTGGGGGTTTTAGATTGCAAATTCCACTTACTTAATAGATTAATCTTGAATGCACAAATTTATAGAATGATGGTGAGAGTGGTGGTGCAAAATCTTGCTTACTTGGTGATATTTCTATTTTAATGCTAGAAGATGTCTAGAATTTGAATTTATCATCTCTCATTCATAAAGAAAAAACGAATACACACAAAAGCGGGTATGGAGTGTATGCCCCTTGATATTTCCCTATTTTTTATAGATAAAATTGCAAGACTACTCTTCAAATCCCTAATGGTATGTTTACTAATCAAGAGTTGGAATTCTCATCAAAAATTGGATTCCACATATGAAGGATTCTTGCGTTTACTTTGCATCAAGGAATTGAAAAGTAAGTGAGGCTCACACAAAATTAGGAATTGAATTCCAGATTTTGGAGGAATTCAATTCTTGTGTGGGAGGTGGTATTCTAATTACTGGAGAACTAACCCATTATGAATTCTTTTTTTTTTTTTTTACCCATTACATCCTCACACAATTTTTAAAATTCCAAATTTGTCATCTACTTTAACCCAACAACTAGGACATTTTAGTATTAGTACTACTCCTACCCCTATTTCATATGGTTTAGTAAACAACTTCAATAGGAATCCGAAATCTAACTCCCCTCAATCCAACTCCTCCTCAATTCAATTCATCTTCCTCTTAATCCAATTCTGGATTAGTAAACATGCCGTAAAGGCATTCATTTATCTTTATTTGCTCATGTTCACGTTTGTTGTTTTGCTCACTCTCACAATTCCTCTCACTCTCTCACAATTTCACTATTCTTGTGACTTCCACAATCGTAGCTTCATCCACAATTTAAAGGTAAAATAAAAACTTAATTTGAATTGCATATAATAATTTAATGAATGATATAGTTAGATTCAAGGTCTAAAATATCGGTGATATCAGAAATATCGGTAGTACAAAAAGACGGAAATTTGGATGGAAATATCGGGATATTATCGATATCGATAAAAATTGAATAAAAACCACGGAAATCCTAAGAAAAACTTGGAAATTTTTATTGAAACTTTGGAGGATGCTTATTTAGTCAATTATCTATTAGTTTATCACAAAAAATTGGAAGGAAATGCATTGCATGATGGATTTAACTAATTTAAGTTGATTATATAGCGAGCTGACAAACACTGTAAGTGTAGAAAATATGTAGTAATTAATGAAAGAAGATTAAACACACCACAATCATTTATATATACTGATTTACTACAATATTTTACATTTTATACATTGTATGGTAAGATACATAAGTGACTTAGTACCACATAGAGTTCCTATGAGGTTCAAATTTTTCACTATCTTCATCATCTCTATGCGTAGTGTAAGTGTATTGTGAAAAGTAGTCATCAAATGATAAATCCCCAGAATAGTTTTGCATGTAATTGTTAACATGCCACCCATATGGATCTGAGATTGGTTGACGTTGTCCATGAGCAAAATCATTTGAAGATTGAGTCTCGGATTCTTTCCATGAGCTGCTTGATTCATTCCTAAAAGGAATGGGATATGAAGGGTAGGGAAATGGTTGGTTATGTGTATAATCATGGTTACTACTTCCCATTCTCATGTAAAAAAATTTATACTTGCAAAAAGTGTTTGTGTTAATACTAGAAACGACATTCTTCCCTCTTAGGACCTCACTTTGAAAGCAGCAAGGGTAAACAGTGCAGAATGGCCCCCATTTTTATAGAAATGATGAAGAAATTGGTTTCAAGAGTCTCATTTTTATACGTCCCAAAAAAAAAAAATATATTAATGATATACATGTGTGAACTTTGTCAAAGTAAGAAATGTAAGGTCCATCATTCCTTGCATGTCCATGTCTCAATATTCATAAGAAAAAAGAACTTACCACTTGGACGCCACAATACAAAGCAAACCAAGGATGACTAATTTTACGAGAGGAAACACCTTGAATCCCCTTTATGTTTTTTTCTCTCTTTTTTTCCTTTTTTTTATTACATTGATATTTTCGATATTTTAACGATATTGTAACAAAATATTGTTGAAGTATGAGCGAAATTATCGACGTCGATATTTTCTGATACTATCGTCGATATTCTCGATATTTATACGATATGTGCATGGATATGTTTTGAAATATCCGTGATTCGAAAAAACGATAATATCCTCGATATTTCGTCGATATTATCGATATTTTAGACTATGGTTAGATTACATTTGTTGATAACAATTAATGCACAAAGTAATGTGTGAATTTATTTGAGCTGCAATTTTTTTTTTTTTTGGTAAATATCACGAGGTGTCCCCACACTCAAATAGTGGGATTAATTCCTGCTCGAGGTTTGATTTGCTCCTGGCCACAAAGTGCTTCTAACGAGTTTCGAACTCCTACCATTCAGGCAACAAGTAGCTCACCAACTAGAGGTAATAGTTTACCAACTGTATCACACCTTGTGTTTTTTAGATGAGATTTTATATTTAAACCCCACACTTTTCTTAGTTCACCCCATGTTCTAAGTTCACCCCAACTTTTAATTTAAAATTTCATAATTTATAAGAAAACCCCACTATCTTCCCAAACTACCCTTAAATACACCTCAAGCTGAAAAAATAAGAAATAAAAAAAAATACATTGCGGTTGCTACACTTTGCACTAGGAGTGGGCCATCTAATCGACCATCAATGGAGAATACATTAAAGCTTTTAACATAGTGGAAAAGCAACAAGAAAAATAACCTAACTTTTGAAGTAGCAGCAACAGGATTATGATTCCGATGCATACTGGAATTCCATAAGTGACAATAATATTACTGTTCCCAGCAGAAAAAAAAACACAAACAAATGGAACCCCAAATTCGAATTTAATACTTTCTAGAGAAAGAGAATAGCTTTACCAAAACATCAGGTATAAAAAAGAAAAAGAAAAAAAAAACAAACAAACAAACAAAAGCAATCAACAGCTAAGCAATCAACACAGGGAAGATAATAAGATCATTACAGCCAAACAATCAATAAGTCTTTCCATCAGCTCCCACACGGATTTTAAAGGGGCATGCTCGTCAATGTTCTACGTCTCTGACAATATGATGTAGATGAGTTTGTATCTTTCTAAAACTTAATATGAAGAGTGATGGGGTGTGTGTATAGATGTAGTATGGTTAAGTATTAAGTTGGATGACCTTTTTTTATTTTTTTACACAATAATAAAACTTACAGCTTAATGATTTAAGTATTGGGGTGAACTAAGAGAAGTGTGAGGTTTAAATAGAAAATCTCTTTTTAGATTAGTAAGTGGTGTTGCCAAATAATTTGAGATTTTGTATAAGTTGTGCCTTTGTATTTGAATATTTTTATTTTGACTTGTATCCTATTTTTCTTTGTTTTATCACCGAAAATGTTATTTCACAAAAAGTATAAATATTTGAAAAGGCATAAAATTCTATAATATAAAAGTCAAACAGTTAAATAGAAAAATACATAAACATATTCCAATAAATAAAAATAATCAATAGTTAAAAATCCAAATAAATTGTGTAATAAAAAAAATACAAATTTATAAATAAACCCAATTCTAGACATGTATTTATAAAAAAACCCAAGCACTATTTAAACATAGAAACACACCCAAAATCAACCCCAAAGTCAACTTTTTGGGTGTGTTTATAAATAGGTTTTGAGTGTGTGTAATGATGAGTTTTGGGTGTGTTTATATGTTTAAATAGTGCTTGAGTTTTTTTATAATTTCAACCCCCATTTTGGGTGTTTTAGTGAAACTCCCTAAAAAAAAGGCTAAAAAATTAAAGAAAACAATGAAATTTTAAGAGTGCTGTTATTTCCACCCCTTTGTCCTATTTCCCCACCCACCTTATCTTCCCACACACCATATAAATTTGAAAAAAAAACAAAATCTTATCTTTCCACCCATCATTATTCCTAAAATACCATTAAATTATTAAAGTAAACTAATAATAAAATAATATTTTTTAAAAATAAAAAACAAAACAAAAAATCTTCTCTTCCCCCCGTCCTGACGCATCACCACCCCCTCAGCAACACTACACTAGCCATCATCCCCTCCCTCCCCCACCTCTTCACCCTCCTCCATCATGACTTGAGCAAAATCCTAAAAAAAACTTAGTTATTTGTGCAAAGCTTCTTCAATCTCTGCGCAAAATTGGGGTTGAGGGCTAGGAGCTACAAGACGAAGCACGATTAATACCCAAAAATGCGAATTCACCTCTACACAAAACTCTTGTGAATTCACCTGCACCCACCTTGCGAATTCACCTATAGTCTAATATCAATAAAATACTAATTCACCTCAAATTCA